GATGGGCCTCTGGGCTGCGGAGAGCCTCTGGGCAGTGGGTGCGGAGCGGCCAGGCCCCACAGAGAGCTACTGGTGCACGGATTCGTGCGCAGGGCTACTAGTAAGATTATAATGGAACTGAGAAATTACTATTATAGTGATGGCATCACCATCATAACATTATACCACAATGCATTACACACATGTTTGTGGTGATACTGGTGAGGCACCCACTGTAATGCCAGTCATATAAAAGTACAGCACACATAATTATGCATGGTACATAATACTTGACAATGATAACAACTATGTTACTGGTTTCTGTATTTTCTATACTATACTTTTATCATTATTTTAGAGTGCACTCTTTATACTAATTGCTGTAAAACAGTATGCTGTGTGATGTTGGCAGTAGCCTCATACATCTTATGTTTCTCATTTTTCTTGATTGCTCCATTTTTTTCTTGTGCTTGGTTTCATCTTGTGTAGTTTTGTACAGTAACAGGCTGTGCAGTTTTGTAATCTAGAAGCAATAGGCTATATCATGAAGCCTAGGTGTGAACTAGGCTCTACCATCTAGGTTTGTGTAAGTGTACCCTATGATGTTCGTGCAAACACAAAATCCCCAATGATTCATTTCTCAGAATGTATCCCTGTTGTTATTTGGTGAATAACTGCATATATAAATGTATAATCATTACAGTGTAATGATTATTACACTGTAATGATTATACATTTGTATGTGTAATGTTATGTCAATTTTACCTCAATTTAGGAAAGAAAGAAAAAAGAGCTGATTTTCTCTTCTTTCCCCATTTCAAATGGTATTCTCTCTTAGGAAGTACACGAGTTTCTATTTTATATTAGTTCTTGGTTTGTTTATACAATTGAAGTAACAAACAGTATCCCTCTCCTTTTCCTATGTGATTGATGTGACTGTTTAGAGTTGCTGTATTGAGGCAGCATCTGGGAGTGTATTTAGGTTCTGCAGGAAAAAGAACTGTGATTAATTAACAATGTCTGACAGGAGCTTGCAGATCAGCAGTACTATCCATGTGTCTACCATTTCTCTCTGAATCCTATCAATGGTAAGATGTTTTGATTTGATTTTTGTTTCTACTCAGGTTGTCAGCATTGGGAACTCCAGTAGTTCTCTTTTTTACTCCTCCCTCTCATAGTGATGTGGTGGTGGGGAACCTATCTTAGTATATATTAAAATACTTTTCTCCTTATTGAATGAAAATCTTCTTAAGAGGGAGAAGATCCTCCTTATAAAGTATGAGGCATTTTACATACAACAAAAACAAAGTAAATGCATAAAAGAAGTTTTCTTTTAAATAACTAATTCCAGTAAGTCATTCTGATTTCTTACCAAATGAATATGAAAATATTGAAGCTTAAAATATAAAATGTAAATTGGCATTCCTGATTCATCCCAACATATACATAATTTTATATTCCCTGATGTTTTGGACAATATAATTTCAAATGAATCAAGCAACAGGATATTTAGTGTTTCCTCAGGAAAATAACTGCACATTTATAAGAATTATTACTGTTAACGTTCCCCCAGGTGTGCTCTTCTCGTGACTGCTTTAAACTGTACTTTACTCAATTCCTCTGTTCTCTTCACGCTTAATCTCTTCAGGTTTAGAAAAAAAGTTTATTTTTAACTCAAATTATGAGTAAGACTAACATCACCAGTGAGACAGAAACTCAGTAGTTTCTGAATTTCAATTTAGTTTTCATCTGCTAAAAGCTGAAAGGATTAGGTTTAGGTGGGAGAATTTGGACTGAAGTACTTTCATTGTTGTCTAATTATAAAATATTTAGGACTTTTTGCACTGTACTTTGGGGAACCTTCAGGCTTTTGGGGTCAATTCTAGTAGGCCCCAAAGACTGACTAATGTATTTTTCCCTTCCTTCCTTCCTTCCTTCCTTCCTTCCTTCCTTCCTTCCTTCCTTCCTTCCTTCCTTCCCTCCCTCCCTCCCTCATTCACAATTATTCAACAAACCTTTGTGTATTCAATATATCCTGGTTAGTTTGGGGGGGTTCCAGGGAGTACTTATCATCAATAAGTTATGGTGTAGAAAACTGAAAAGTAATAAGCATATGGCCAGATGATAAAGATGATGTCCGTAATGATGATGTTCTCATGGAAGGGGAATGTCTAGGTAGGGGATAGCAGTGGCACTAGAGAAGCTTTTGTATAGGAGCTGAAGGATAAATAAAAAAGCTGTGGTAAATGTATACAATGGAATGTTACTCGCCTATAAAAAAGAATGAAATCTTACCATTTGCTACAGCAGGGCTAGACCTAGAGGATATTATGCTGAGTGAAATAAGCCAGTCAAAGATAAATACCATATGATTTCACTTATATGTGGAATCTAAAGATCAGAATAAACTGACAAAATTTAAACAGACTCATAGATACAGAGACCAGAGTGATGATAGCAGGAGGGGAGAGGGATTGGAGGACCCAGTAAAAAATGTGAAGAGATTAAGAATTATAAATTCATAGTCACTAAATTGTCAGGGATGTAAAGTCCAGTATAGGGAATTTAGTCAATAATATTACAATAACTATGTATGGTGCCAGGTGGGTACTTGAAATATCAGAGGGAACACTTTGTAAAGTATATGATTGCCTACCTACTATGCTGTACATCTGAATCAGTTACAAAATAATATTGAATGTAAAATGTAATTGAAAAATAAAATTAAAAAAGTAAATATAAAAGGAATGAACTTTAAAAAAAAAGTTAACGATGAAATCCTGCCAGTGAAAACAACCAACCATGTGAGGCAGCCCAAGGTGCTTTAAGAAATACAATTGCATCCTGAAAACAGATTTAAGCTCCTGGAACTGGTCTTGCAAAGACAATTTCCACCAGAGCCTCTGCAATATCAGACCTAGAGTGCTTATGCCCTGTAGGCACCGCGGTTCGATTCATTCTTCAAATGAAGAGGTGATGTGGTCAAGACTGAGGACAGAAAGTGAACTGTTCTTCACTTATCAGCTTTTTTTTTAGTTAGCAGTTACCTTACAACAAGCTTCTAAGACTTGGTTCTTTTAATCTTTTCTTATACATCTCTTTTGTAGATGTGCATTGCCATAATCTATTCTGGCTGCCATAACATAGGGCATATGGACTGGGTGGCGTAAATGGCAGACACGTTTTTGCTTACAGTTCTGGAGGCTGGAGGTTTAGATTGAGGGGCCAGCGGGTCAGGCTCTGGTGAGGCTCTTTGTGGCTTGCAGGGAGCACCTTTCCCCTGTGTGCTCACACAGCTGTCCCTCGGCGCCTGCCGGAGGAAAGGGAGCGGGGCAGAGAGAGAGGAAGCCAGATCAAGCCTGAAATTATTTGAATATTTAGAATATTGAGTTCTAAATTAGGTAAATAATTGTGGTTATTGAAGAAATGTCCTGGGAAATAATAAGAATAAATCTATACATTCATGGGTTTTGACTGTAATATACCACGATCAGATTGTCCCGTGAACAGTGAGTGGCGAAGCTCTTTTATGTTGTTTACTTCCTCACAGGATGTGGGATCTGCAGGAATATACATACATGTCTTCCAGTGGCCTGGAACTGAGTTTTGGAAAAATGAGAAAAGAATCTCAACAAATGTTTTGCCTTTTAAGAATTTTCTTCCTTAGGGAGAAAACACACACAGTGCATATATACTCACACCCACCACACACACACATACCCACGTGTATGCAGGCACATGTACACACATGTAAACATATGCATGCACATATGCACACATTATCTCATTCCTTCTTTATGTTTTGCTTTGTGAACCATTGCCCGTAGAAAGGATAGATGCTAGCACTGAGATGTACAGCACAATAAAATGTACAAACCTGCCTGACAAGCCAGCATGTTAGCAACAGCTACAAGACAAAGTTGTGTGTTTTTTTAAAATAAGATAAATATTGGCTTTCGTGAACAGTGCAATCACATTCATTTTACAAAGGAGTGAGGTTCTAATGTCAACAAAAGGCAACAATTGGATCTGAACAGAATTACACTTGAAAGTTACATACATCTCTCACAAATTGCAGTATTTTATCAAACCTGCCAGTTTTATTTTTGTTTTCTCCCAGAGCAATAGAACAGATCACTGTTCTTTTACTCAGCAACTGGAGTAGTTTGTGTTGAAGGGCCTCACCATGTGAAATCATGTGAACTCCGAAACTCCGGGGTCACACTTGCACAGTGACACACCCCCCAGGGGCCCAGGGAACTGACACTGGCTGTAAGCACACACCTCCCCCCCATGGGAGCATGTGTTCACTGGGTGTAGTGGAGGCGTTAATGGTGAAACTGCTTATTCTCTAAGTTCTCTCTCTCCCTTCTCTTTCTATCTAGCTCCCTCCTCCTTTTTTTCACTTTCAATTTTATTTTGTGTTGATCTCAGGTGTACAGCTTAGGGGTTAGACAGTCACATACTTTACACAGCGTTCCCTTCAATGTTTCCAGTACGGCGACTGGCACCGTACATAATAGCTATCACAATATTATTGACTATATTCCCTATGCTGCACTTTACATCCCTGTGACTATTTTGTAACTTCCCATTTGTACTTCTTAACCCCTTTACCTTTTCACCTACTCCCCAACCCTTCTCCTTTCTGGCAGCCACCAGTCCACTCTGTGTTTATGAGTCTATTTCAATTTTGTTTATTTTGTTCTTTAGATTCCACATATAAGTGAAATCATATGGGATTTGTCTTTCTCTGACCGCCTCTCGAGGCCCCTTCTTCTTTGTCAGTCTCTTGTGTTTGCTAAACATGTGTAGTCCCATAGATGAATCCAAACACACTGCAACTCTATGGCATATGGCATTCTATTTTTATACATCTTTGATTACATGCAGGTTTATATATTCTCTCTTGAAGTCACAAATATAAATACCTATGTGTGTGGCTGTTTGACTTTTAGAAATTCTGTTAGTAGCAGGAATTTCATCTCAGATGGCACCATGTGATACTGTTGTGTTCCTAGACCACCTGGATGCAAAAAAGAACCACACACCTGGATGTACAAATCAGTTTCCACACCTGGAAGATAATTCAAAGGTATAAACCCATCAAATGATGGTAACTTTCTAAGCCCTGGTATGGTACAGTAGCCATCATTAAGGCTCTTTTCTAAGATTGATATAAAGACATAACTTTTCAATTATTTTTGTTAGTTTAGAGTAAAAAATTATGTTATTGTTATATTGTCATTGTTAGGTTGATATGTTAAACACCTTAGTTGATAGTTCTATTCTGTAATCTCAGGTACCATCCAGCTGCCACCCCCTGAACACAGTGGAAGTCCTTTCCCAGAGGAGATTCAGTTAGGTTATTCTCTGAGAATCTGAATGACGACACTATACTTTTCTTCATGCTTAACCACAATTGATTGCGTGCATTTCCTACAAGGCTAACACGTGTAAATTTTGAAGCTTATATTTCTTCATAAAGGACTGTTTCAGGTTCATTTAACTTTGAAGATTTTGACATTGTGTTTAAGAACAGTTTTGATGCTAAAGTCTCCTATGTCAGAGGAAAACAAATCAAGTTCTTAGAGTATACAATCTTCTTTAAGAAATTCAATGCAATGTAAAAACTCTCCAAAATCTTCTTGTATGAATTCTACTGTGGTTGTTACATAGCTTCATTCACCAAGTTTACATTGTTTACTGAACACCAAGTGAGCACTCTGAAAGGTACTGGGTAAATTGCAGTGAGGAAAAGCAAGTCCTTGGCCTTATGAAGCTCATGATCTCCTGGAGGGGTGATTAGCCATAAACAGCTAAAGAAATACCAACTTAAAGAAGTGTCAGGAAGACAGGACAGAGTTCAGTTAGAGAATAACAAGAGGGTAAGTAACTCACTGGGTGATTAGTAAAGCCTTGTTGGGAGGAGGTAGTTTTAGGCTGAGACTTAGAGAATGAGAAAAAGTCAGCCTTTAAAGAGCACAGGGCAGAGTAGCTCAGGCAGAGATCAGCAGGTCTCAATCATCAAGGCATAAAGGACTTGGGTGTTTCCAGAACTGGTAGTAAGCTGGTGTGGTTGCTTGCATCAGGGCTTTTAAGTGTGTGTGTGTGTGTGTGTGTGTGTGTGTGTGTGTGTGTGTGTGTGTTGGAATGGGGGGATTGAAGGGTAGATGGCATGAGATGAGGTTAGATCAATAAATAGATGCCTTGACCTAGCTGCTTTGGCTCAGTGGATAGAGCGTCAGCCTGCGGACTGAGGGTCCCCGGTTTGATTCCGGTTGGGGACACATGCCCGGGTTGTGGGTTCGATCCCCAGTGTGGGGCATGCAGGAGGCAGCCGGTCAATGAATCTCTCTCATCATTGATGTTTCTATCTCTCTCTCTCCCTCTCCCTTCCTCTCTGAAATCAAGAAAAATAGAAATAACTAACTAACTAACTAACTAAATAAATAAATAAATGAATGAATGAATAGGTGCCACATGATTCCTGATGTATAGGCCATGGTAAGGCTCCAGATTTTAAAAGAAGCATAATTAGAGCCCATCAAATTTTAAGGGTAGAGAATCATTATCTGATTTAATTTTTTAAAAACTCACTTTGGCTGCTTTGTGGAGAATAAAATATGTGTGAGCATGTGCCCATGTCTTAGTGTTTGTGGTTAAAATGGAAGCTATGAGACCAGTTGGAGGGCTATGAGAATCATTTAGTCAAAGATAATGATGGCTTGGATCATAGGGTGACAATGAAGATGGAGTCAACTGGATGGATTTGAAAATATTTCTGAACTTACTGATGGATCTGATAGTCACGATGAGGAGGAGTCAGGACTCAAAGATGATTATTTTTTTTCAACTGTGTGTATCATGTTGCCATTTACTAAGATCAGGTTTGGGGCAGGATCAGGTTCAGAGGGAGGTCATGTTCACTACTAGATATCTAGCACCAGACCTATTGCAATATTTATTAATTCATCAAACATTGATTTAGCTTCACCATATGCCAGACATGGTATGAAATGCGGAGGATATCTAGTGTCCTTAAGCTTATGGAATTAGAGAGGTGGTGGATTTCAGTGTGCTGGAAGGCACCATAGTTAGAAATGATCCGGGCCAGCATTGTCGTTTATTGGTGAAGGATAGAATTTGAGCCATTTAATTTCTGAAGAAATACCAAGACTCCTCTATAAAAATCATAGTTTTTTTAATAAAGCTTAGTTTTACTCATCCAGCAATAGTTGTGGCATTATTTTCTCTTGGAGATATGATACGATCTGTTTTCATTTCTGTTTAATGAATTGTTACAATTAGTACTATTGAAATACTTGCTGATGCATTCTGAAGTTATGAAATTAGAGGCATCATAGCCAGGAGTTCAGTGGGTGATGCTGTCATTGGTTTCACCAGACTTGTAAACAACTTATGTAAGAAGAATTATAAACAATGTTCTAATGTGCACACATTATTTTCTAAGGCATTAATGGTAGATATAAACAAAATTGGGCAGTTGTATTTTTTACATTATTGATGGTAGGCTCCTAATTACCTTGAAGAATTTTAGAGGGTATTTTTCAAACTTAATAGAAAACATGAATTATAAGAGGAAAGAAAAAAGAAAAAGAAGGGCCAAAGGAAAGAGTCTGTTGTGCATGAATTCTAGGGGTGTGTGTGTGTGTGTGTGTGTGTGTGTGTGTGCGCGCGCGCGCGCGCGCGCGCGCATGTGTGTTAGAATGTTTGTTTTAAGGAATACCTTTATAAGTTCAACTTTATAAGTTAAGGTATTTGGTCAAAGAATAAATAGGTGCTGATGAAATAACAACTTGTGTAGATTTGAACAATTTAAATACCAGGAGACCAAAACGATTATTTAGAGTGGTCTAAATAAGCATACTTATTATCTAAATTATGTTAAGCATTTACTGTTCATTTAGCGTGAGCTTTACATGGCTCCTTATACTTGGTCAAGTAACGTAAAAGAAAAGAGATGAAAGTTCCTGCCCTGAGGGCGTAACAAACTTTGAAGCGTTGGGCATGATTCAATCTGCACACACATGCACGCACACGATGGGGGAATGCTTCCTGCAGTAAGGTGTTTCTGACTTGGGAATGCCTTATGCAGCAAAGGAAGTTTCAAGATGTTTTATAGAGATGAGGGCCTATTTAGTGAGAAGGATGTTTCGGTTTAAAAAGGAAATTGAATATTGAATGAGACAGATGGTGGTCAAGTGGCCTACTTGAAGCTTAAAGGCAGTTTATAGAGATGGAGATGAAAGCAAGGATGGAGATAGCTTGGAATGCATGCCAGTGGAAGAGGCAAAACTACTGAGAAGATGGTTGAGATGCTCACAACCTGATTAATTAGAGCCAAAGTTCTGCTTCATCTCTGCAACTGGGAGGGCAGGACTAAAGTCAGAAACTAAAGGTCCAATAATGGAAGGTCTGACCCTGTCCCTTCAAAGAAGAAACTTAAATAACTAAGGGCTGACAATGGGAACTTCATGGAATTTAGAATTAGGATGGTGTACATACAAATCAATGAAAAAATCAATGGTGAAAAGAAGGACTAGACAAAAAGTCAGTTTGTTTCCTGGATCAGGCAGAAAAGTAGGAGCTTTGTGCCTGGATACACCAGGACAGAAATATTCTGTTTTATTACTTAGTCTGTATCTTTATATCCTCATCAAAGATACAAAGGTAAGAATGGACTTTTCATAAAAATATGCAATATTAGTAAGAATTTGCAGAAAGCCTTCGGGGCAGGAAAATATCTTTTATTCTTAGCCACTTGTCTCTGGTTCTCCCAGAAAGCCACCTCCCCATTTTACTGTGGCAGGTTAGCTTCTCCCCTGGTGATTAAGATTTTCTCTACAATAAACTAAGTTCCTTGCTATGTATTAGTATAGTGTGTACGATCCTATACTCCTTCACACATAACCTTGCAACATTCTTCATCATGCAATTGACTTAGTCCTGGTATTTGAAGGAAACTCAACTGGCTGAGGTGAGCGTTTTATTTTTTTTAATTATTATTTTTTCTCCCTAAACTTTTTCAGCTGCACTGATTCCTGACCAGCCAAAGAAACTCTCAATAGGATACACTTTGGGGGAAAGGGGCCAGATACATCTTGAGAAATTTTCACATATGTAAAACAAATGTCTTCCATTGAGGTTTTTAAAATAGTCCCTTTAAACTTTAACATGTGTCAGGTTAGTGTTTGCTCAGATAACCACAGGCCTGTGCAAATGGGCCCCAATCAGTACACACCAGACACAGAGGCCCATTATCATGAGAGTTATGGTTTTTGTTGGTTGATTTAGTTCTAAAAAAATTGCTTCTTAACACATTACCTCCAGAACCTTCCCATCTTTAGATCTACTTAGTAAAAAAGGGATGTTATTGCCCAGTGACTAGCTCACTTAAGGAAGACACAACGAACTCTCTCCAAGTTTTCCCCAGGCACAATGTTGTCAGGTCTGTGGTTTGCTTCGAGAAATTTGGCAAGTGAGTTGATATACATTTTTCACTCCTCATCCTGTTTTTTTTTTTTTTTAAAGAGGTAGGAGTGATTTTTCAGGAGTGAATATATCAAGCACCTTATTATCTCTTTTGTTTGTTTGCTAAATAGGAAAGTCCATCAGCTTGATAATGGAGGAGAACAATGACTCCGCTGAGAACCCCCAACAAGGCCAAGGGCGGAATAACGCCCTGAAGTGTGGGTGGCTGAGGAAGCAAGGAGGCTTTGTCAAGACTTGGCATACCCGCTGGTTTGTGCTCAAGGGAGATCAGCTATATTATTTCAAAGATGAAGATGAAACCAAGCCCTTGGTAAGTAAGGAGATAAAAAGCACTGTGGGTCCAAGCGCTCTAAGAAGTAGAGGGGTTTGCTTGAAACCGATAGTCTCCTTCAGTTCACTGGCATCTTTCATACTTTTTCTCATTGTTTACCTTGGTTCAAGATGATGAACTTGCAAATTGAGGCCAAGAGGCAAATTATATTTGTATAATATTAATTTGATTTCTACTAAGCTGGAACATAATGTCTGAGTCTCTCAAGCAAACTAATTTCATGAGAAATTAATGGACCTCTGCTAGAACATACATATTGTAGCCAAACATCTTTCCTTTTCTCAAAAATAAGTTGGAAGCGAAGGAAGACTGTACATGAACCTTTCAGTAATTTCTGGGACACCTTTAGTATTAATTCTCTGGGGTGCTTCCCTCCACTTTAACTCATATGAAATATGGATGTGGAGCTAAAGTGAACAATGCTGATACATCCAACCCGCATACACAATATACTCTGGGAAGAGTTTCTTTGTGGTTCCTAAGTGGTCTTTTATTTGCTTACTTACTTGGTCATTTTCTCAGCCACAAATCTCTAAGCTGCAATGTGAGAGAAGAAAAATCTTTCTCCCTGTAGCTACAAGGTTTTTGTTTAGCTTTGATCATTGCTTATCAGTTGATGAAAGGAGATATGAACTGAGGTATTGCATCACCTATGTGTTTTTCCTTCCTTTACATCCAGAGGACATATGAATAAGAGAAGAAACATTTTAGATTCATTTACATAAATATCTCTAACAGTGTGTTCTTGTGGCTAATTCCCTTGTGTTAAAGTTCATTGACTTAAGAATTTGGATCAGCAATCTGCTTTAGTATTTTAAATTCCTCAGACATTATAATTTTACAGTTTTTATTAATATAATTGAATCAGATAAAAATAGTAATGCCACTACATACTCCAAACCTCAGTCATTATTTGAAAATACTATTTTTTTGAGCATTTACCAGAGCCAGGCATTAGACTAAGAATTATTTATATTGTTTTATGAAATGCTTAAAATAATTCCATGAGGTAGGATTATCTCCATGTATGCATTCAGAGACCAAGGTTTAGGTACAATTCAGATTACCCAAAGTTAGACAGTTTTGCCTTTAAATAAGTCTAAGTTCCTATGGCCTCAGCCAAAGACCTCATAAATAATTAATGAGAATATTCCATATTGGGATCATGACAGTTATAGTACATTTCTGTACCTGTTATTACATTCATCATAGCAAACCAGTAGAGAATCTGGGATTATCATTACAGATGAAGAAATAGAGATAGCAAGTGATATAACCAAGATCTATAGAGATAGAAGTAAAGCAGTAGTCTTTCTTTTGTTTCTCATCTCATACTCAAGTGTTCTTTTCTCATTGCACCATGTTTTATACTATGTAATAGTCACATAAATGTATTATCTTGAACATATAATCATTTTACTAAACTGAGAAAAAGGGATCAGGTTAATGTGAAAAATCGTGGAATATGGGGGATCCAATATGGGGACTTTGATATGGAAGAACACATTGAAATACATATGAGGAGTATGAGTAAGATTCAGTGTTTCATCCTGTGGACTCTTCAGGTGAACTGGGTTGTTAACCAGGGTGGGTATGAATTAAGTGACTAATTAGGTCTGATCCTGGACCTAAACAAAGGATTAGGGGAGCTAACAGAGAATGCAGGAGCTGAGTGATTGGAGAACTGAAAGCAGACCTAACAAAAGTTCTCTTTGGTGAGCTTCATGTACCTTCTAGTACTGAAGGTAGGATACAATGGATCAAGCCTGAGTTCAATGTTTCTAAAGTGTGAGGACTTGCAGGTTTCAGAGAATATGTAAATGACCTCCCTCCCCCGCTTTGAGGAACTCTGCCCTAAACTGTTCAAAGAGGATATCATCTTATTGCCTTGGCTATGCTTCTCTAAGTAATTTCTCAGGTCTGCCTCGTCACAGAAAGTATTCATGCAGTGTCTTTAACTTTCATAAAAATTTGAAAATATAAATAAGAAAATGCAAAAACTTCTGATTAATGCAAAAGAAAATTGGCCTCAAAATGAAAATTACTTTTTATAATATTTCTAAGGTAAGTTGAATTTTCATATTAGTATGCCACTACCATTTGTAGACTTATAATAGCCGAAATGAGCAAAATAGAGTTGTAGTGACAAGAAAGTACTAATTCTTATACAAACCAAATACCATCATTCCCCAAAGAGTTTTCTTACTAGTAAGTAATGGACAGAAAAAGAGTGCCTCCCTTCTGGTGCACAGCAGGGCCAAACACTAAACACCTAGAATTGCAATGGAGAAATTGGAGTTGCTTTATTGCCGGGTGAGAATGGGAAGTTATTGCTCTAAACCTGACCTCCCGAAGGCTTACAATCAGAGGGTTTTAAGAAGTTACAGAGAACAGGTATGTGGAATCGCTGGTGGGGCAAGTTTTAATTGGAAGATTTTGGAATGTGACCATTTATGGTGAGGGCTTCAGCACTGGATCTTCCTGGATCCTTTGCTTCTGACAGGTTTCCAGTGTTCAAGGTCCAGTCAAGGCCCAATCCCTTGGTTCCAATGGGAAGGGGCAAGACTTTGCCCTGGGGGCAGCGGTGGGACAGGGGTGACACATTCGCAGTGCTGTCTCTGTGAAATGCCTCAAGAACTATATTGATCACCAAGCTGCTTAAAGCAAGCAGAACCAGTGGTCAATGTGATTCGTGTGCTGTTTCATTAATTTTTCTTTCTATATATTATTTATTAAAGATTTGCTACTAAAGCAGTAAAATTTGGGATAAATAGCTTATACACATGGGACAAATAGTATATATATATGTATATGTGTATATATATATATGTATATATATATATACACATATACATATATATATACACACATATATATATATTCACCTTTCACAGCAGTACAAGCACTGTGAATTTTAACATTGCACTTTTAAATTTTAATCTTTCACATTGATGTTTAAGCACATGCGAACAGAATCAGGTTAAAAACCAGCAATTTCTATATCAGAGGGCACTTAGTTTAAATAACCATACAATTGCCTATGCATGAACTAATTTCTTCCTTTAAAGTAGGTTCTTTAAGTGAGGGTAGGTGCTTGTCACACTGTAAGTGTTAAAACATATTTTTGGATTAGTTGGTGAGTGAGTCAGTACAAGTCTATAGCCATGTGGGGGGAGGCCAGAACCAGGCACTGTGAGTAGTACTGCCTATTCTCAGCTTCATACATCAAAATCACAACTTTGTATTTACAACAATAATGTTTAAATCACATTAAATAAATTCTGTATATTATAGAATGACTTTTAAAGAATTGATCACCTCAATGCAGACCAATTGAACACCTTGAAAAATGTTTACATTGGGAAATTAGTAGTTGTCATAAAAGCCCTCATTTTATAGACAGTGTAAGTATGTGTTAATGTGTGTGTGTTTGTGTGTATATATGTGTGTATTGACCAAGAGGTGGTAATGAATGGCAGATGAGGAACTAAAAATCAGATTTCCTTGCTCCTGATTCAGTGTTTCTTCAGCTTAGCCCTTTGCTTGCTCAAAAATCTTCAACTTTTCTTTAGATTTGTTTTCATTTAGAAATACTTATTGGTTGTTTATTTCCAATATTGGCATTTTCAAGCATAAGAATATCCTAGGTCTTCATATATTTTGATGATGGCCAGTTCAATAATACTAGAGGAAATGTCACTCATGAAATGAAAAAAAAAAATAATCATTCTTTTAAGTATTCCTAACCAGTGAAAAGTGTTCAATAAACTTATTCTAGATTTCTTTTCCCCTTTGTAGATGGAATTTTAAAAATGAGAGTATTAAAACTCTTGAACTTTTGTCCCTCCCATCCTCAAAAAGTTCTCTAATATAATAGAACTTTCATTGAGTTTCTCAACAACTCAATAAAGAGAGGAAATTCTATCATTAAGCTTGTTATTAAAAACTACCCCGTTATTGAGGAAAACATATAGGGTGGGGCAAAAGTAAGTTTATAGTGTTCGTATGGAAAATAATGCAATAATTAATAACTAAGAATACAAGAATAAACTCTGTGTCTCACGTACTCACAACTGTAAACCTAGTTTTACTCCACCCTGTATAAGCAAAATTATAATTGGACAGGCTACCATGTAAGTACTGAAGGCTCTGAAAACACAGGTATAATTAGTGCCAGGAGTGAGTGGTGACTCTGTCTGAAGAGCCTGGGAAAGGCTGCACAAAGTAAGAGTGGCCCTGACTTGGGGTGTTGAAGGTTGGTGGGCATTTTCCAGGTACATGAATTCAGAAAAGAATTCAGAACAGAGGAAAGACATGGAGTTGTAAAATTAACATCTGTGGGTAGTTCCATATTGAGAAGGTAGTAAAAGGACAAGAAATGGGGCTAGACAGCGGTTCTCAACCTGTGGGTCGCGACCCCTCTGGCAGTCGAACCACCCTTTCACAGGGGAAGCCTGAGACCATCCTGCATATCAGATATTTACATTATGATTCATAACAGTAGCAACATTACAGTTATGAAGTAGCAACGAAAATAATTTTATGGTTGGGTCACAACATGAGGAACTGTATTTAAAGGGCCAGAAAGTTGAGAACCACTGGGCTAGAGAGATAGGTGGAGCCATGACATAATGGGATGCATGTGTTGCGCAAAGAGAACAGATTCTCTGGTAGGCTATGCAAAGTTATTTTCATAAGACCTGTGCATCCAAGCTACAAAACTGCACTAATTTGTTAGAAAGAAATAATGGCAGCTGTTTCCTGTTGTATTACTCTGCAAGGTTGCCATAACAAAATACCATAGACTGGGGGGCTTGATTAACGGGAATTTATTCTCTCACAGTTGTGGAGGCTGGAAGTCCAAGATCAAGGTGCTTCCAGAGCTGGTTTCTGGTGAGGCCTCTCTTCTTGGCTTGCAGACAATCTCCTTCTCCTTCCCTCTGTGTCCTTGCATGGCCTTTTCTCTGAGCATAGGAGAG